CCCCAAAACCCCAAAACCCCAAAACCCCGAGTAAGAAATATAACTAGACATTCGAAGAATAGAGATAAGTACTTTATCTTGTAAATTTATATAGCAGATATTGATATAAAAAATATTCCAAATAATTTTAAGAACTAATAGAAAATTGATGAAAGAAAATCATAAAAACCTTATTACTAAAGCAATGAATCAACTTTTAAGGAAGAATGTAATATTCAAATTAGTATTAATGAAAATTTATTAGAAAAAATCAAACTAAGGGTTATAGGGTAAATGTAGGAATTTTAAGAGAGATTTCAGATATCTTGATTGGTTCGGATAACCTATAAGATTAACATATAAGGGTGTAGATCAATTTAGAACATCTTTTGGGGCTAGTATCTCTCTTATACTCATTATGCTGATGTTATTATTCGGATTTTACAAGGGAGATATTGTGCTTAACAAATCATAGCCCTAGGTCAGCAAAACATCGCTTATTCAAAATTACAAATCTGGAGGTATTTTCCGTCCTCAAGATTACTATTTTGATTTCGCTTTCGGATTGAAATTTAACAAGACTCTGGATCCTTGATACGGCTACATCGAAGTTAATTAAGTAAACTATTATTTGAGTAATTTAACAAATGAAGATGGCAAGTCTAGATTAAAACTAAAGAATATAACAAGTCTTTAATATGATCGTTGCTAAAACAAATACTTTAATTACACATAAGGAAAAGAAATAAGTGATCTTGGAATTAGTGAGTATTTTTGTCTCGTTGATAACAATTACCAAATTTAAGGAGGTTATTATGATGACATTTATGAATACATTGAGCTAAAGATTTTCAAATGCTCTAATAATACTGAGAGCGATAAATGCTATCCAAGAGAAGAAATTGATAATTATTTTGAAGCTGAAACACTTAACTTTGCTTATATAAATACTTATATTGATTACAAAGACACCAATGACAATAGCAAGGTCAAGCTTTTCATTGATGATTCATTTTTTGTAGAATTAGAGGCATCTAAAAACAAAAAGGCAAACTTTTATATTCAAAAATAGCAGGCCAAAATTTAAGATGATTACTTTTAATTCGGTCAAGAGAGAATAGAATAATTTTTTTCAGTATCAAATATAGAAAGATATGACGATAATTACAGTCCTAGTTTAGGTTATATTTCTGCTGTTTACTTCAGATATGATAACAGATATGACATTTACTAAATAAAATACTATTCCTTGCTTGAACTTATCGGAGATCTAGGTGGTCTATACAACGGGTTAAGAGGAGTAGGGTTTATGATTGTAGCTTTCTACACTAGTAGGATGCTTCAATCAAACATTATTCGAAAAATTTACTCAATTAGGAAAGGTGAATTAAAGAGGGAATAAATGTAGGATTAAAGTATAATAAGTCGTCTTATAAATTCAAAAGGGCAACTGAATAAAACATTGAGATTTTATCATGGTATTGAAACCACAAAAAGAAAAAGTAGAAAATAGAGTAATAAATAAGAATAAGAATGTGAGGATTACTAGGAAATGTTCGAAGAAAATAATCTGCATGGAGAATAGTCTAAACAAGAATTCTCTAATGAACAGGATGAAATCTAAAATCCAATATCATTATTACACAACAGAAGACCTAGCATTATAACAAAGAATAGTCAAGTCAATTCTAAAAACCACGATACTAATTCTAATCTCAACAGTAACTCATTTGAAGCTAAATCTGAATTATCTGGAACATAATCTCCAGCATTTCTTCATTTGAATCAGCTAAGCGAAAGCAATAAAAGAGTGAAAATACAATAACTTTAAGATAATGATTTAAATTAGGATGTTAGTCTGAAAGACTTTGATAAAAGCTAGAAAGTTAAAGAAAAAAAACTTTCAGAATAATTAAAATCAGTTAATCAGCTAAATGAAGATCATATTGATAGTATCATGGAATCAATAATTAATAGGATCAGACTTAACTACAGATTTATAATGCTAGTTAAATATTACTGCAAATGCTTATGCTTAAAAAAATTGAAATAAATTACTAAAAATGAGTAGGAGAAGATTCATTATCTGTACCAAAAAGGAAGGAAACAGTTAAAAAGAGAGTTAGATGTAGTTTAGCTTTTGAAAAGCTTAAGAAAATTCAAGTTAATGCAGTAAGCTCTCCTTCCAGAAAAAATATCGAGGATGCTTTTATAATTCCAAAGGTTTAATCTTGTTGAAACTGATACATCTTAATCTGACTCTGATGAAGAAAAAGAAAAGAAAAAAAGACTCATGGAAGATAAAGATTTCAATAAAAGATTGATTGCATATGAAGAAATGAGGGAAGACCTAAATATTTTCAAAACTAAAAATATCGGGAATCTTGAGTAAAATCTTATAAGAGGAGTATTTCAAAGAAGATTAAATGATAATGATTCAAATGAGAGAATTGATTTTCAAGAAAGCAAATCAATAACAGAAAGCAACTAATAGACTTCAAGAACAGAGAATGATAGGTCTGTAACATCTGAAGATGAAAAATTAAACAGAGATGAGGATGAAGAAATAAACCCTAAAGATAAGATTGATAAAAGTCCAGGAGTCAAGATGATTAACAATCCTAATATTTATAATGGGAACTTTGAGACTGAAATGAGTGGAGATAAAGTATTTAGATAGTCGATTATCAAGCGAAATTAATTTTCTAATGAGGAAGATGATGATATTCGGACATAAAGATATTTTATTGATGATATAAACAGTGGTTTCTAAAATGTTGAATTGAATTCAAGTGAATCTGGAGCAACAGGCTCTCAAACAGTCGACAATAAGATCTTATATCCAATTTAATTCCCATCAATTGACCTTGCAGATAATGAATTATAAGCTGACTCTGAATCATAACCTTGATTTCATAATTAACAGATATTTTGAAAGTTGCACCCAAAATCATATTTAGTTGAATCAAAAATCTGATTAATTTTACTAAATCACATTAAAATAAACGAAACTTAAATTCAAGAATTTTTGCTCATTATGAATGCTAGGGGTTTTGGGGTTTTGGGGTTTTGGGG